TGATGGCACAGAGTTTTTCAAAGCACTGGTGTTTAGGACCGGGAGGGCAAAATAGTCTTTAAGCGGGTAGACTTAACTTGAAGGAGGTTATCTGATGGTGGCTAAAGTCAAGGCACGAGTGAAAAGTAAACTCTTCACTGCAAAGTACGAATCCTCAAACTCACTTTTTAAGGAAAAAAGAACTAAATATAGTTTTGGTTCATTAATATTACGGCTTGGTGGCGCTAGCCACCGCCCGATCTAAAGAATTTAGCCATATCCATCCATTTATCCATCCATCCTGAATTACCCCTGTTTGGCAGGGGTAATTCTTGCTGTCATCCCAGCGAAATTCCGGCAGCATTTTGCTCCCAAAAAAGCGTTTCATAATATATGTGTAAATGGGGCTATCGTAACTAACAAAGAAACTATCGCAGAATCGTTTAACACGTTTTTTTGTTTAGTGTTTACTGATGACGATGAGAGAAAGCGATGTTCAAAAACGCTTCATGATATCCCACCAATAAGTGACCTTGCATATATGAGGAAGGAATCTTGTCTCTGCTTCTAACATAGATCCCAAAAGACGCCTGGTATTGATAGCATACCTAACGCGTTCCTTGTGAGGTATGCTGAATGGTGCTCGAAGTTTTTTGCATCATTTTTCAGAAGTCACTGTCGCAGCGCACGCTTCCATATGGCTGGAAATTCGGAGAAATTATCCCTATACCCAAATAGATTCTAGATAGGCAAGGCCAGATTGACATGATTTTCCTAGACTTCGAAAAATCATTTGATCGCGTGTCGCATCCAAAACTTCTCGCGAAACTTAAACCTATACTAAAGAACCGTACATTAAGTCATGGATTGAGGCCTACCTTTCTTATCGAAATCAAATAGTTTTTATAGATAACGTCCAGTCTGATTCACGACCGGTGAAATCGGGAATACCTCAGGGCTCAGTGCTTGGGCCACTTCTTTGTTTTAATTTTATAGACGACATTGCCAATGATACCCGGTTTTTATTAAGTTATTTGCAGATGATTGCATTCTTTATCAGGAAATACATAGTGCAAACGACCAGGTTCTTTTAAACGCAGCGTTAACGAAAATATCTTCTTGGTGTGCAGTGTTGCAAATGAAGATCAATGAAAAGAAAACGGTAGCTATGACCGGTACGCGCAAGCGGCTTCCTTTGAAACACTCATATTCGATCAATGGTCAAAAACTATCGTTTGTTAAAACCTATAAATATTTGGGGGTTGTATTAAGTGCAGATTTTAAGTGGAATGAGCATAGTTGCCTACATTGAAAAGAAAGCTTTACCGAAACTAGCATTTCTAAGACGTTCCTTGCGCAAATCTACCCCGAAATTGAAATTATTGCGTATAAAACTTTTATTCGTCCGATCCTCGAGTACTCATCTGTGGTTTGGGACCCTCATAGCCAAATAAATATTAAAACACTTGAAATGATTCAAAGAAAATCAATCCGATTTGTATACAATCGCTACAGTGCTCTTACGTCACCCACTGAACTGTTAAAAAAGCTGACCTGGATACATTGCAGGCAAGACGGCAACACGATCGATTGAAGTACATGTTTCTACTTTACCACGACAAGCTACGCATAGAAAAGCACGCGTGCATAAAAATGGTTACCGCCGATCAACTCGTTCCAAGCATCAAAAAAAAACTGAAGGAATATTCCTGTAAAACAAAATCCTTTGAAAACTCATTTTTTCCGCGCACTGTCACTAATTGGAATGCTCTTTCTGCCAATCTAGTGAACTGCGAAACCGTTCACTCGTTCATGGGAAATCTTAAAACACCAGCAACCCACTTGACTTTGATCTTTCTTTGCGCTTCGCCCTTTATTATTCCACCGTGCGTCCTGAATAGGCTTTCATTTAAGTTGCACTTTCTATCACTTTTTTCCTATCAATGCGTTGTATTTTTGAAATGTTGCTGATTCTTGAAGCGTTATATGATGTTTCTTTTTTAGTTGTGTATGAACAGATATTTGTTGTCATAGGTTTTTTTTACGTTTTCTTCTTTCTGTACGTGTACGCGTAAACCACTACAATTGTGTAAGTACTGGCGTTTTACTTTGATGCACCAGTTCTTGATGGTGTAGCTCTGCGTGACGTGTTTCCTTTTCTGTTGTATCATATATCTGTTTCCTTTTTTGTATCACCCACCCCTGCCTAAGGCCTCATGTGTGAGGCTGGCAGTACTTCTGAAATAAATAAACCTGGAGACTTACAAAGAGGGTTCAGCTCAAATTGAGGACGACGCAGTGAGCGATAGAAAGGAAAATGATAGGTGTAACCTTAAGAGTCAAAAAGAAAGCAGAGTGGACCAGGGAGCGATTCGGGGTAAAGGACATCATAGTTGAAATCAAGAACAGGAGATGTACATGGGACGGGCATGTAGCGCATTGGAAGAACAGCTGGTCATTAAAAGTAACTGACTGGATTCCCAGAGAACTTGAGAATGTATCTCGTCGCCGAGACAACTTAAAGCACTCGTAGCCGAGATTTTTGCCAAAAAATCTCACAAAATTCTAAGCCGCGAGAAATACCACGACACGTTTTTTTCGTGTGCAGACATTGTATATTGTAAAAGTGCTCAGAAATGATATCGTGATAGCAGTAGCGCTTAGTTTCTAAATCATGTCAGCACGAATCGACGACATGATTGCCTAAAGAGTCCGAGGACGGCGCACCACTTGTCGAAGGAGTCGAAGGACGAGGCACCATTCAGCGAGAGCTTAACGGCGTCAGGAGATGGAGGTTGAGCCGGTCGGCCAGAGCTGGGCTCTCGTCGGAGATTGCGGAGGGCACGACAGATCGGCGCAGAATCCTGCGGGTCAGCAGCCGAGTACCTTAGCCACTAGACCACCGCAGCAGGGCGTAGAATCCAGCGAGTGAGCAGAGGCAGACAGCCACAACACCTCGCAGGAAAGGGAGAAAGGCGCGCAGCGATCGTCAGGCGGAAGTACACCAAAAAGCACGGCACAGCTGGCACGGCGTGTTGACCTCAAACTAGCGCGAAGAGTAGATTCCTCAGGTTTGACAAGGTTCAAGGATGACTCGTAGAGGAGGCCTTGTCACCGGAAAGTTCGTGGTGCGAAGGGAAAGAACACTCGAAAGGCACTCCGGTTACTCCGGCAATCGGCGTGCCTTATCAGGTGCATTCCGATGACTCCAACAATGTACACAAGAACGGTATTTCTAGACAGCCTAGACAGCAAAACCGGCCTTTGCAGGTAATGCGTTGGCCTAGCAGGTTCAGAAGGCTTGAGGCGAGCCGACGGACCTAAAGCATTCGCTGCGCTGTCGTTTACTGGACCCTCAGGAAGCGCGCCATTGTCAAATGTCCTTCCACGCGTCCAAGCGGGGCTAAGAAACGCGGGCCGATCACAAAAGCTACTATCCCTCGGCCTTATGATGACGTATTTTGCGTACATTTTAATGCAACTCGTGACACGAGCTTTATGGGGGCGTAAATTATAAGCTAAAAAACGATCAAGATGCATTTTCTGCATCGAGTAATTACAAGAATGGATTTGAACCGCACGGTCATTCCCGGACATGAATGAGCTAAGTATTTCATTCTTAGGAAATAAGAAGAATGGAATTTCAGCAAGCCCTAAATCAGCGAAATGGAATCGCAACATAATGAAGGTTCCCATTCGGCAACGCTGTCATATATGGGTTCCTTCTGTGACCTCATTCGTTTTCCCCTGTGCCAATGATCCCGTCGTAACAACGAACGAAACGAAACGCATGAACGGAGGCTAAGGAGCGGCGTTGTATATTGTCAGCGGGACTCGCTCGCTGGATTTCGTGCCGACCAATTGTGCCCCGGCGATCTCCGATGACAGCGCAGCTCTGGCCGAGCGGTTTGCCTCACGCTATCTCCTGACGCCGACAAGAGCTCTCGTTGAGTGGTGCCCCGTCCTCCTGCGACCGTGTCCATCTTTCCTATCTTGTCCTTATTTCCGTATGTGGTCTCTCTGTCCCTCTGCCCCTCTCTATCTCTGTACTTTATTTCTCCCTATCCTTTTATTCCCTTCTAACGCCCATGCCTCATGAGCTACTGTTGAGGTGTCCTCCCCCTGAGAGACAGTTACGAGGCTCACTTTTGAGTTCTTTTCACTCATTTAAAAATTACTCACCCACCCCCCTACTATAACGTCGGCACTTTGCGCTAGCCACACAGAATCATTAATTGGAACTCTTCTGTGTGAGAAAAAGATCAAACCAAGCCAACTGGCGAATGTAGCGGTCGTGTTTTCACAGACGACAGCAATGCTTCTGAAATTCGCCATGAGGACAACGAAAGCTGCTCGTGAGGTTCACTTTGTTTACTGATTTACGCACTTATTTCACATCACATGAAACCACTCTTGTATTCGCCATAATTCAGGATTAAGCAGTGGCTTGTAAATGAACTCTTGCAGTACAAAAATGAAGGCTGCTTTGCACTAGTACACTTACCAATCCTGTATAAAAATACCATTGATGTGATGTACCCACAGAAAAAGACATTCAATTACAGATTTCATGTTGCGACTATTTGGTAACGAACAATCAAAGTTAGCCTTTAGCGAAACCGCGACGTGCCCACGAGGAGCCTGTGCCGAGTGAAGAAAAAGAAGTGCTGAAGCGACGACGCGAGGTAGAGACTTAAGTGAAATAAAAAAAAAGAATAGAACGGCGAAGATGAAGTGCGGCAAAATATTTGTACTTTAGTTATCATTTCCCGTGGATAAGTGATTTGAAAACTTTGTTATGATACGTCGGAATGCAATTTTCATATCTTGGCTAACCCTCCAGAGTAGGTATATGAGCCATATATGAAGGAACATTATCATCATCATCGTGACATAGCCTCTATCGGGTCACCTGGTGTACTGGATAGTCGAATGAAAACTGGCCTCGTGGTGTTTTGAAGGCGTGGTGGGCTGCGATTGGACCACGTGTGCGGAGTATGTCATATAAAAAAGCAGCGGACCAGAAGCGAGGCAGCGTAGCCTTACACAGGCTTGCCTGGCGGTACCTCCGACTCGACGGCTTGCGCGAGGTAACAGCTCCCGGATAAAAGGGAACCATTCGTCGATCGAGTTCTACGGTGGCTCTGCTTCCGGCGGCAGCGGAGACGAGGCCTCCGCGGGATGGACAGCTGGGACAACAGCCAGCCAACGCCGATAGGCGACCGCCAGCTTCATCGCCGCCGTTGGCGCCTCGCCCTGCGAGCGAGACCTCGACCGTTTCTACTAGCCAGTACAAGGCCCGCCACAACTTCCTGGCCGAGGCAACGTCAGCTGCTGGTAAGAGCGTTGAAGTTTTCGTTATTCTCTTGACTCATTGGACATGTAGCTCACATCCGGCCCCGGTGGTCTACTGGTCATGGTGCTCGACTGCTGACCCGCCGGTCGCGGGATCGAGTACCACGGCCGTGGCAGCCGCAACCGTGATGGAGGCGAAAATGCTCGAGACTAGTGTACTTCGATTAATGTGCACCTTAAACAGCCTCACAAGGTTTAATTTTCCGTAATAATCGACTACATCCCCTCTCAGAATCATATCGTGATTTGAAATCCTATCAGTTATATTACTACTTAATTGCAGCTCATAGAAGTTTGTATTGGTTTACGTGGTGATAATGTGCGTTTTTTCTCGGTCGATCTCTTGCTTGCTTTCTTCTTCTGATTGTTTATTCGTGCACGCCCCTAGAAACCTGTATTTAGACTCTCGACGTTTGGACGCCGCGTATGTGGTTGAACGAGACCATGTAAACTAATCAGCCGAGCCCATAACTGCAGCAAGTTTTGCTTACACCAAGTTTTGCTTACATCTTTTTGTGGGGGTTCTCGTGAGCGGCGTACGCGAAAGCTTACATCTTTACGCATCGCTTGTACTTGCAGTTAGTGCATCTCGTGAGCATGCGTCGTATTTAAGGGAAGATTAACGTTTCCAGAATGCTTATAGCAAAAATCTGCCCCAATAAAAGTGAGCAGGTAGTTGGGTCATATTTACTCACCTACTACAAGTTATAAAAAGTGTTGATTGCGAGCGTTTACAATATGACCTTTAGCAGTGTGTAGATTTCTGTGGGGAAGACGTTACGTCAAGTATTATGATAACGTATGGATCAACAATTAGTGTAACATTATTTGCTATCTATCTTCCTCTTTGAATTTGTGCTCGCATTACTGTATTCTACAAGCAAAGCCATTCCAGTAGAGTTTAATGAATTCCACTTTTTTTATGGACCAATGTATTTATATATTTACGGTCACAGCTACAACACTTTGTACAGACATTTCATGTTACTTAAACAAGCTAGTGTTGTGCATGAAAGGCTCCATGTATCTGCCTAACGTGTTGCCAAAGGTAAATCCAGGTATTTGTGGATGTTATCAGAATTGCGTTTTTTTTTCGAAATTACTAGAAATATTGTGTTTCAGAAACTGAACGTGGTCCCCTTATAAGGATCTGTTGTGTAACTTTTGCTTGCGAATATCATTCATCTTAAATTTTTTATCTAAGACCACGCTTCACTTGTGTATTCGGTACCCAAGACTTTCATTGCTTTTAGATAAAGTGTAATCAAATGCTTATATTAAACATTTTCGTTCAATGTCTAAAAAAGAGTGATATTTCGAGAAAGAGCCATGTTATAACTCTTTCGCCAGTCGGCGAGACCAGTGTACCTTCTTTTTGAGGAGCTTTAAATGAGCTGACGTGCGCGTGCTGCTCCAAACCTCACCTGCTCTCACTTGGCAGCGAACCATTGCATGCCGTGTGGGGGCCCTGACATGCAGAACACAAGCACGACGTGCTTCCTTAGGTAGATAGTGCTATCAATCGACAATCTTGGTCCGCAAAGCTCTTCTTTTGCAGAGGCCGGCTAGATTGTTTCAAAAAAAAAAATTTGTAAAGAAAACGTCTGTAAGCTTGGGCTGAGCTGCACAAAGTTGGTTGGTATTAAGCCTATTTATTACTGGATCTAGACAGAAGTTGACTGTATGAAGGTAATATCAAGTTTGGTGTTACTCTTTTCGTCATGGTCCTCAGGTCTCCACCAACGGTATCAGTCTTTGACAAGGAGTCGGTGCTCTGGAGATGGCCCAAGGGCTTCGCAGCCATTTCTTGAAATAACTGTTGCCTTCTGCACTGTAAATAGACGGGTGGTCCTTTATGGGATTTACCCAAGTTTTGTGACCGTAGATACCCATTATAATAATTTGCCATCTCGTTTACAAAATTTCAATACCCCATTCATTTGGGACCTGCCCCCTACTCTAACTACCTCTGCTCTTGAACTAGTCCAACATTATTCTGCCCGCTTTATCTTTGCAAGCTACTGGTGTACCTCAAGTATCACTTCTGTGAAAGAATCTAGATCTTTCGTCTTTTCACCTGCATAAGTCTTTTTCCCAAAATATGTCACAGTCGCACCCTACATAACAACCACAATCTCTTCATCATGCATCTCCACTCTTTCTCCCAAAAATGTGGGAATCGTGCAATGCTCAATGCACACATATAATCACAGTCATTTATTACCCAAACCTCATAGGACAGGAACTATCTCTCAAGATTAGTCACGTTGATAGGTCGGGCAAATAAATGGAACGCACTCAGACTCACCCATGAGATAAGTCTCTAACTTTGGACTCACTCAGACTCTCTGAAATGTTTTATGAGCCCAACTCACGAAAATTTTCTTTCAAAGGACTCACTCGGACACAAACTCATTAAATATTACTGATCAGGGCTCACTCAAACTCGCTCTCGGCTGGATCTTAGTCTGAGTGAGTTGACTTGTGAGTGACCCTGCCGACCTATGGTCACGCCCATTGTGCATGACTCTCATTTTCATAACGTTTTACACTCTGTGCACTTGAATACAACTAATACGAGAAGTAACTGTTATGAATATTCTTTTTTTTTTCAAAATAACAGACTGGGTGAAATTTAATGCCAAAAATTTGATAAAAAGTGCTTAACAATGTTTGAAAAATTTTTGAAAATGTTATGAGCCTATGTTTCTATATTTGATGTGTTCACTTGCATTATTTGTGCAATTCTTCACGTATGTTTGAGTAATGCTTGTAATCATTATGAACTTGTGTTTGCTAAAATGCTTGTACAATTTTTATGTATACCCACCCTACTAAGATTTGGTACCATATCTATAAAGAAATAAAAAGATAAATATACAATAATAATATATTAATCAATTATGTGATACTGCATTTTTCATAAGCTGTCAGATTATTTTTTGTTTAGTTGACACTTGCACTGTTATCGCGGTTTGGCGTGTGAGGGCGCTCGCATCCAAAACCCATACCACATTAGTGAACGGAAAACTGTACCTTTGGACTGTTGTATCAAAACAACATGTAAATTAGTAGCGACCTTGTGCTGAACTACAATACTGCAAGGACAGATGGTGTTGGTTGTAGTTTAGTATAGCGCTGGAATTTCTTTGACAGCTATGATTCTACAGGTTCTTTTCTACGCTCCCATGCCAGCACGAAATTATTAGATACAAGAAACTGGAGGCGACGACACTATCTGACCGTCATTATCGCGTTCTTGTAAAGAAATTGCACCAGAAGGCCCAACAGGACCTCAACTGGCAAAGGCACATGCAACAACGCAACAACGTGACAAGTGAAATTATTTTATTGTCCTAGTAAACAAGTAGACACAAATAAATAATTTATCTCAAACTATACTGCAAAAGAGCATACAAGCAATAAAATAGATCTAAGCATAAAATAGCACTGAGATATGTGCGCTAACCGCTTACTTATTCATAATGTGCCTTCAGTTTACTGTTGGGTCAGCTTTTTGAAAAAACAAAGTTAAAAAGAAGTTCATTATTCGCCTCCAACGGAATTATTCTAGACGAAACGAGGCCCATGTGCTTGAATCTAGGTGCATGTTGAGGAACCCAGGGTGCTCAATATTTGCAGAGCCCTCAACTACAGGGTCTCTCATGCGTATCGTGGTTTGAAAAATTATAAGTGCAAACGGTTTAGTATAACGAAAATGACGAAACACCCAATGTGCATCAATACGGTCCGACTGCGACACGGTAAAGCTTATCGAGACACACCAGCATAGTCATGATTGCACTGATCATGATTGGTTCCTTGTACATGTTGCAAAAGAAGCCAATTGTGATAAAAAAAAAAATTGCTATCGAAAGTGATCGGTGTAATACTGGCTGCAGTTCTGCTAAGCAAGGAATCGAAATTTGAGCTGTTTTACAATTGCTGCAGTATATCCTGCTCTCCAAGCTGACTGAAAACACGCCTTGAGCAAATATAACTGTGCACACTAGCTGGTGATGGCATTGACCGCAACCAACAGAGCAGAGAGGAATCTAGGCATGCATGCCTAAGGAGCCCGCTTGGCAGTGTGGCAAGTGCCCGGTCACAAATACATCCCCGTTAGAACTGATCCCGCACTTGTATGCAGTTGTGCATTTTTCTTACAATAATAGCACATTTGTACAAAAACACAAGTTCAAAAGATGTTCAAAACCCGGGTGACTCGTTATGCATCACGCCCCCTCTGGCACATTGGCAGCAACTTTTGGTACCTCGCAGCAGCAAACAGATTCTAGCTCATTACCCATTGGCCGACATCGACCGCACCTGTACCTGCAGTAAATGAACATTTCAATTTAGCTTATACAAACTGATACGTACGTCACAGAGCCAGTCCACTTCAGAAAAACACGATACGTGGGGCGCGCACTGCCACATGCATGTGCGCGTGCTCAGAAGTATTTGTTGGCCGCTCGCGACCGGCGAAGTAATTATTTATGTTGCAAGTATTGACAGCTTGATGCCATTTGAACAGTACAGCAACTATACTCAGGCAGATTTCTGAACAATAAAAAAAAGAAGATAAAGCACTGTACAGCTAGTTTAAAAGAACAATGAAAATACCACTTGGTTCACTTATTGCTGGTATTCCAGGGTTCCTGAACTTCTTGCTAATTTGTTTCTTGCTTTAAGAACTTATAATGCAATGGTGAAGTTAAACTAGTGTTGAAACTGTCAAATGACAAAACTAGATTAGGGTAATAACTTTGAAGAATGGGAAGGTCTTGATGAGGTCAGAATCGGGGAAAGACAGGGTGACCGATCGGCACAGTATTAGTCGGAGAAAGCTCCCAGAGAAGCAAAAGAATGGCACAGAGTTCTGAGCGACACTTGCAGGAGACTTGTGAATATTGATCGTATCAACGAAAGAACACCACGTGTAGTGGAAAAACTGAATAGCAGTAACAAATTAAACTACA